GGCTATCTCGGCTAAATATGTACCACTGTTACTGAACTCAACTGAAGTAATAAGTGTTGAAAGGGACTTCTCTATGAGATAATGCTACACAATTAAGACACAATGGTCAGCATTCACTGCACTAAAGCAAGACGCAACTACATCAACATTCACTCCACTAAAGCCTTTCAGTGATATTAATTATAAAACTATTGTTTTACCACAACTATTGTTTTTAAAACATCAGACTTGGATCTTCCATTAGAGTACTTATCATGAGTATTATTGTGTTTAAAAGTTGATAAACATGGTTCCCTCATTAGTAATCAGTAATCACCATCTTACGATTTAGAACCTGTAGTCTTTCTTTTTTTTAATCTCGGTAGAAGACAATAAAAGAAGTGTAGGTGAAATATGTGTGTTTTCTTCTTTGAAACAGCTAGCATGACATGGTCAAAAGAATCATGGCATGGCAAATTGGTAATGTCTAGAAACTAGAATCTAGATAGATAGATATACTAGAGTAGACCTGTGGCTAGTTAGGTCCCTTTCCCTCAATTAGCAAGTTTCTGAAGCTGTTTAAACCTATTCTATTGCTGATGCTTCAACGGAAAAAGGTAAACATAAAGATATATATGGAGCTGAAGCTGATTGATTAGCCTAGCTTGCTGTCACAGACAGACCTATATATACATATACATAACCTTATGTTCGAAAGGATGATGAAGCCATTTTAGAAATCACACAAACCAAACATGCACTAAGATGAAGTAGGACTCTCCATTCTAGTAAATGTGAATCATTCTCACTATACTTAACCACTGTTACCAACAGTGCAAGTTGTAGTGGTTGTGGTATAGTAGATATATAACTTACTGTTAAACTATACTGATAGATTGATAGGAAACCTCTCCCTACTCCTAAACCCTATTTTAGTAATTAGCAACATAGCAACGTACATAGGCATTTACTAACAAAATCGAACAAGTATCAGTTTTGATGATCATGCCTAGAAATGCAATCTTTCTTCTGACAGATTTTGTTCTATTTGTTTTTATTTGTGTTCCCTTTCTTCAATCTGAGCATGCAGGTATACAATAATGCTTTGAAATCCCTTGTTTTATATATGTGTGCAGGTCTTCGCTCATCACAATACAATTAGTTGTTTTCTGGCCAGAGAGAAAAATGTTCCATTCAGGTTAGTTCTTTGCAGACACACGTTCGCTTCACAATTTATTTATTCTTCTCTTTCAAAATAAAATGTGGCATTCAGGTTAATTCAACTCTGAGATACCATGGACTATCTCTATGGATTAAAAAAATAATTAACTATGATAATCTTCGTTGAATTATTGCATTGTGTGTTTCCAGAATGCAAAACTGAGGCTTCTAATTACAAGCTGTTGCTGAAAATAAGAGCCACATATCAGACCTCGATTTTCCAAGGTAACTTATAATTGCATTTATTGAACAATTTCTTTTCTTTCTTTCGTGTTTCCAGTTTTTTGTCTAGTAGTTTAATGACTAGTTTGAATGCTTTGTATTCATTGACATTTCTCTGAATGAGAGAGAGACAGATATTGGATGTTGCTGTAGTTTCTACTAGGGAGGAATTTTTTTCTTTATCCTTTTTTTTTAAAAAACTTTTTTAGAGGGGTTTGTTGGAAATTTCCATCTTTATTATCAAAAAGGTCTAGTGACAGTAATGGCAGTTTTCATATGTTTTGATCATTTGATCATGTGGTTCCATACACATATGTATGAATTGATTTGTGGTAAACAGGTATATATAGACCTATGCATAGTGAAAATCGTAGGATTTTATTAGAAATATCATTTTTTTTATAATATCGTCTGGGACCATATATGGAATGATGCCTATTGACTGACTAAGAACTGAAGAATGGAATCTCCTGCATTTTTATTTTATAACTTAAATTTCCCAGCCTTTTTCGGTAACATCAATTTTCCATGGTCTGACACGTAAAAAATAGTTTAGTTAACAGTTTATAGCATTAAAATTTAGTCCTTCATGTGTGAATATATACCATATTATATTTATACATGTACAATGAAAGATATCTCTCTTTAATTATATGTTTTCTTTACAATATATTTGCTTGTGACTTATCTGTAGAAAAATATGTAAATAATAGTTTTGATACTTTCATTATATATTTTCCCTTGTGAGCCTCGGGAATAATTAAGTATATTAAAAAACGAATTAATGCAACTTTGTATGAACTTCTTTTCTTTTCATTTTTAGCTTTGAGTTGTAACTGTCATAACTAATTTTTTTTTTTAACAACCTAATTTTTGACAAATACATGATTTGATATGAATAAAATAAAGCTGAAACAAATTATTGTTTCATAATTTTTGGGTCACGTATAGATTTTCTCATGGTGACTTTTAGTTCCACTAGCTTTGCTTAAAATGTGATGTAGACCAAAATACAAATTAATGTGAATCAGCAAAAAGATGATAATGTATGAACAGTGTCCATATCTAGTACCTACCAAAGTGGTTTATTTATAGGGGCACTAAGTCACAAAACAGGTAGTGAACATGGCCATAAGGTATCTGGGGATAATGGATCTCAGATAGAACTGGTTAGCCCTTGATCTTGTGCTGTTTTTAGTTACTTATAATCCGGTATATATAGTTTGATATTCTTATGATATATGTTTGGTTGGGATGCAATTCATTTATAGAATAAGGATGGAGAAAGATAGATTCAATGAAGTAGAATTTAATATATCATGTTTTACTTCGTGTTGTATGCATACATGTGATTAGAGAATTTTTTATTCAATTTCTATATATATAAACAAATCAATAACAAAAGATAGACTAGTTTATAACATCTTGGTTGTAGTAAATAAGGGAAGATTTATCATTGTAGTACACTATAAAAATAATGTACTTCAAGAATGTATAAAAAAGAGGGGAAAAGAGACGACTTATTATATCAACATATTCTTGAATATTGTATTTTTTTTAACACTCATTAATTTAAACCACTTTGATCTAGTGGGACATTTAGTTAGGTTGACAACTTGTTAGATTCAAATTTTGTTATTATCATTGTATATCTAAGCAGAATTGTAGATGTAGATTTCACACAGCACTAATAATAATAACTAGTTTTAAGTATTATAAAATTTTTTTTTCATGAAATGAAGCCGTAATTCTTTTTTTTATTCCTATGATAAAATATTATTTTTATTATGTAACACATGAAGCCCGACTATATAATACAAAAACTTTCGTACAGAGCACTGAGGAGAACAAAAAACCTTTTTCTACAAACCATTATTGTTAAAATAAAAAAAAAATAGTACAAACCATCACAAGTAGTTGTCGTTACAAAAAAGAATTCGCACAAACCCATCACTTAGTTAAAAACAAAAGAAAGTGAACTGGACAAAAATTAGTACTTTTTTTTCCACTTTCTTTTCATATAATTATTTCTTTTAGTGTATATTAACTCGTAAAGATTATTTAATAAAAAAATAGGAAATGAAAATAAATTAAAGAATATACCGGTAAATAATCTCAAAATCAGAATCATAAGTTTACGCAACAAAATAATATAATTATACAACAAAAAATAAATATTTTCTAAAATTGTATAAATTCGGGTTTCATGTCCAAATTCATTTCCCAAGTTGATATTAATAGGTTTGCACTTCAAACTCATGGTCCAAAACAATCTAATTTTTCCCCTTCAATTTGGTTTGGATTAACTGGATTAATTATTGGGTCAATCTAGACGTGTGTCCACCTCTAATAATGGAATTGACTTGAGTTTATTGACAAAATATATGTTGCATTTAAAAAGAATGTGGGTGCTGTTAAGTCTTAAAAATATTTGAACCAAAATTCTTTTATATTCAATTTAAAAACTAAGCATGTATGCTCTTAGATTTTTTTTTTTTTTTTTTTTTTTTTTAAAGTGATTAGGTTAATTTATACTTGGTTGAGTTGAAATAAAATAAAATAAAATCAGATACCCGTACCAATTAAGGTCGTCCAGATTAAACAAAGATCAATATGTTTATCCATTCTTATTCATATAGTTTATGAATTTACTGGTTTAGATGCACTATCTACCAAACTATACTGGCGTGGCTACTCACCCATAGTGGAAAAGGAAATAAATGGAGGGATTAATTAGTAGTACTCGCTTTCGGATTAGCAATAATAATTAATATAGTTTGTTTAAATTTATTTTTAAAGAAAAAGTGTCGTTTTCAATAAAAATAAGTAATTTTTTTAATGTGTTTTCTAATTTTTTTTTTAAATAAACAGTTTTATGTTTTTTTCCAAAAAGAAATTACCTGCTCCTTTAAAAATCATTTTTTTAAAGTACTTTTTATTATAAAAAAAAATTTAAACAAACTGGTGTAATGTTTCACGGTATCTGCTTAACTGGTCGGTTTACTTAGGTTACCATATTTTTTTGTAGTGACAGTCTAACGTGAACTATATTTAAGAATTTATAATTTGAGTTGCTCATGGGGCTTTATTTTCACCTAAGAAATGTGTCAATTCCATTCATTGACCTTTCATTTTTGTGAGTTCATAGGAAATTAATTGTTTCCTTGCACCATTCTGTCCGAGTAATTCCTTGCGTTTATGATCATTGTCCATTGTCGTGAAAAGAGGCAGCAAACAAAGATAACACTCACTATGCTAAGAAGACTATTTATTTAACTCTCTAAAAATTTCTTTATTTCTTTAAAAAAGATGCACACTTTTTATTTTGTATAATGAATTAATCGGTATAACACGGACCAATTTAAAATAAAGTAGCATTTTCAGTTGTATCATTATGCTTAAAACGATATTTGAACCCTAATAAGAATACAAATAACGAATTGTTTGTATTATATATATAGACTTTGAATTTTGTTTTTATCACATTCCATTAATTTTTTAATTTTTTTGTTTGCTTTACTCTATGTTCTGTACAAAGACCGAAATTCTGGTATTTTCATTATCCCTAGAAAATCTAGAGTATCTGTATGCCATGTGACTTTAGCTTAGTTTGTTTTTTCTTTCTTTTTCATGCTTCCCTTGATTTGAAGGTATGGGTATCTTAAGAAGTGCACAAACCGAAAAATGACAGAAAGAGTGAGGACCGAGGATTAGATAAGGTGCAGCAAATAAAGGCACTTGTCTGTGTGCAATTATTTTGTTGCCTAATAATAATCCTTTAAGCCTAAAAGAAGATGTCATTTTCTGTCTCACAAGGACGGCACTGGCTGTTGCTATTTGAGCCCTTATTTGGTGTTTTCCCTTTGTGCAATCATTCAAAGACATGCCATTATGTGTTCCATTATCCATGGTCATTAGGGTTTCTCAGGCCTCAATGTCACTCACACTCACTGCTCAATTTTCCTACCTTTCTAGGGCTTCTCATCAGAAATCATATCCGCATATTTTAGGATTTGCTATTATATCTGATCTCTGGATCCGGGTATATTTTCTCTTCCTTAATTTGGTTACGTTCTTTCTCTCTCCTCAGATCCACCTTTCAATCACATTTATTAATCTTTGCTCATAAAAATAGAAACTACTTAAAGTATATACAATAACTATGGCCGAAAAAGGGTTTCAAATTTATGGAGTTGGACCACATATTTGTGTACTGAAAAAGTATTTCCACGCAGAGAAGATAACATTTTGAAGGTTGGTTTTCTGTGTTGAGATTTTTATATTATTTTTTATGCTAAAAAAGATGGATCTCATCATCTCAGTACCTAATCGCTTTCACTGCTGTGCTGAAATAAAAGGGGCATATGGATCCAGCCAGAAAGCTACTAATTTACTATATGTGGAAGAGCTGCTGTGTATGCTACTCTGCACTCTAGGCTCTAGGGCTTTCCACAAAGATCCTTTCTCTTGTTCCTGTTTCTTCTCTCTTTTCTTTGTTTAGAAAAAATAAAGTAAAAAAATTGGTCTCCTCTTTTTCTTTTGCGGGTGGATTTCTGGTTTTGATTCTGGATTTAGGGTATTTTTTGGGTCTGCTGTCTTTTCTGTGCGTTTTCCTGTTTCTGGTTTTTAAGCTTTGCTTGATTTTCCGAGGATCCATGACCAGGAAAACACAGAATAATTTGAAGGAAGATTAGATTAGGGCGCTGGAATCTTTCTTCTTGTTTTGTTTCTGTAGCTTCTCCTCTTTGCAACAAAGAATGCTGATAATAGTGGAAATGAAATAACTAAATTTGGAGTATTCTTTCTTTTCTTTTCTTTTTTTGGAGTTTTCATTTGTGGTTGTTTAGTCTAAATTATTTTTAAGAAAATTACTTGTTTTTCTCAACTTCTAAATTTAAATTTTGAAGAAAAAACTATTATTTTTGAAAAACAATTTACTTATTCTAAATTTACACAGTATAGGGAGTAAAATTTTCATTCTTACTACACTTTTAATAAAATGAAGCCTACCACAACTAGAAATTTCTTTTTTGACACCAGTAAAAAAAAATAATCATCTCAATTTTTATATTTTTTTATTTTGATTAAAAATGTTTTTGTTTTATTATTTTTTGTATAATTAATTTTGGAACCTTCTATTTTTCTTTTAGGATTTGGTTTTCTTAAATTGAAAGGTGCATTTTTGAAAATAAAGTGTAATTGGTTGATTAAAATATCAATAAAAAATCAACAATAAATAATTATAAAATTAAATATAAATATAATAAAATCTAAAATTAATTATAATATTTATTGGTTATTATTATACTTTATTTTTAAAAGTAATTAAACTTCTCCTAATTAAATCTTATTTTCTTTTATTTTTATCTTTATGTTGAACTTAAATAATTTAAAACATATAGTCAAAATAATATATCGTAAATGACTTATATACTCTTAGATAGTGTATTATAAGTATGTTTTATTTTATTATACAAAGTTGACTTGTAAAGTTAAAGTTATTTTTTATTTATATATTCTTTGATTGTCACATCTTAAATTGATGTTAGATTTGAGTTTTTTCATGTATTGTAAATTTAAAATATTATTTATATATTTAAATTTATTTATTTATTATAAATTTTAAGTATAATTTAAATTAAATATTTTATTATAAATTTTAATTACATAAAATGTGATTATTCTATTTTGTTTTAATTATAGTCCACCAAAATATTTATTTTCTATAAGTAAAGATTTTTTTAATTATTTAATAGAGAAAATAAATTATTTTGGTGATCTTTTGTTTGCTTTTAAACAATTTTGGGCATGCGTTGATTAAATTTATAGGAAAAAAAAACTTCATAAGTAAAAAATAATGGTTAATTTTACCATATTTTTTTTTATGTCTTTGTTAATGCTTCCATAATGTTGGGTAGTATCTTACTAACTTTTATTAAAGCAAATGTCAAATATCTTGATTTTTCATTAATTGACAATATAAAATAACTTTGGAAGAATAATTCATATACACCGAAGGTGTAATATTTAATCAGAAGTAGGTATTTATAAAAAAAATTTATTAAAAATTACAAAAGAAAATATTTAACAATATAAAATGAGAGATGGTTATTAATCTCTTTCAAAAGATAAAATACTCTAAACACATAGTATAAAAAAGAAAAATTCTAAATGCTCCGAAACGATTATTACAAGAAATGTTATATATAGTGTTATACAAAAGTATTATCATAGGTATAATATAAGTAGATATATATTTATTCAGAATATAATTATATGTAATTTTAGTATTAATTTTAAATGAGATTTAATGATATATATCAGTAGCAGGTGGACAATTTTTCTTGTAATGAATATTTGAAAGTTTACTCTGAATCTTTAAAATAATAATTTAAATTATAAAATATTATATTAAATAATTATCTTATAATAAATTTATTAAAAGTATGAATATTTTAAAATTTTGAATAATATTTTGGTTGCTTTCTCGGAATGTATAACAACTCTCTATTAAAAAAAAGTTATATTATCATTCAATAATGTTGGATCGAGCGCTTACCATTAGCCCAAAAGTTATAGTTGATAGTTAGGGCGCAACTCTTTCAACTTAAGAGCGTAGCAGCCAAAGCGTCATGATTCGAGAGTGACTTGGCCCACCTAACTTCCGTCACGGGACAATTGATACAACCCGCAACAAATAAGAATTTTGCATGTACAATAATTTTATTAATATTTATAAAATTTACTAAAAAATCATATATATTATTGTCTATGATTAGGTGAGAGTATAAAATAATTTTACAATTCTATTACTTAGTCACTAAACTCATTGCAAATTCTAAATTCTTAAAATAAATAAATATATTATTTAATAATTAGCCAAATGTGAATTAATTAAACTCATCTAATTTAAAAGTCAAAATATACAAGATTATAAAACATCAAATAAAGGCAACGATCGAAAAATGTGAACTGGAAGTAAATTTAGATTTTCAGATAATTAAATAAAAGATTGTGTAACATAATTTTCGTTAGGAAACTGTACTAATGATAGTTGAAACTTTATAGATTTTAGATTCCTCCTCTCTCTAATAGAAAGAAACAGAGCCACACCAGTTGGAGTGACGCTGCTGCTGATATTCTGAACCTAAACAGTAACTCATTGCATTCAATGCATTCTCTCTCTTTCGGTGTTATATAAATGTTAGCTATAGGACTTCTACCAAGAAATCTGATTCTTCTTAACTTTAACTTTCCTTACTGTTTACTTTTGACCACAAGAAATGGAATATTAAGACCAGACACACCAACAGATCTAAATTTCTGATGTAACACTCAACACTTCAACCTTAGTCTAGATTTAATTTTATATGTATGAAGAGAAATTTTAAAATTATGAATTAAAAAGAAAAGTAAAAGAAAATACATCAATTTTATTTTTTAAAATAATATTTTATTTTATTTTTTTATTCAAACAAAACTTTAATATTGTAGTTTTCAATCATTAAATACGTGTATTGTTTCTTGATATAATTATTAGAAGAAAAAAATTGTAAAGAGAGTTGTAAGTTTGGGTATATGATATTCTGTATTTATTTCATATATTCATATATGATATGATACATGATATTTATATTTTAAATTGTTTAAGAAGCGAGTTTTTTTTTTCAATTTTTCAATTGAATGTTAATATTAAAATAAATTGTGTATTGTATTAATTTTTCAAGATATAAATATTAAAGACGGGTCGTGTTTTACTTTACTAAATTATTTTCTTAATTAGCAATGGTATTAACATACATATAATTGTATCGTACATTCTGTAGTGGATACATTAATCTGGATTTGACCATATCACCACCCATAAAAGGAAGTACATATAGAAAAGCAAAACCCACCCAATTTCGTTAAAGTTCTGCAAATATTGTTAAGTGATGTAGTTTTTTCTGAAACTCGTGAAATGACTAAGACCTGTTTTAATGTATATGATTACATCGATCTGGCATAAAAATTCAAAAGTTGTATTATTTATATAATTATATTTTAAGAATAATTTTATAATATTAATTTGTTCTTTATATTACATTCAAAAACAAATTTATTTCATGTATAATTTCTTCTTTCCTTATCTATCTTTATCATTGTTTCAATAAATTATATTAACGAAATTTCTCCATTTTCAAATGCTTTGAACCCACGACAACAGAATTCAGCTCAAAAGGGAGCGTTTTGCTCCAGTCATAGTTGACATTTGCGTGATAAAGTATATTTACATCTTTTATTTTATATATATATATATATATATAT